GAAATACTAGAGATGCAGAATTCAATACGCCAAATACAAAATATAAATGAAAGCCTCAAGAAGAGACTTGGTGAGGCAGAAGACATAATAACTAAAACATGAAATAAATCCTTGGAAATATCTTAGACAAAAAACAAGAGAAAACATTTAGAAAAACTAAAAAGGATGGTTTGAGATTTATGGAATACTATCAAATGACCAAAACCATGTGTCTTAGTAATTCCTGATGAGTGTAAAGACAGAATGAATTAGATGGCCTACTCAGCAAAATAATAAAAGAAAACTTACCTAATTTAGAAAAAGAAATGTATGTTCAAGTATAAGAACCACATAGGATTCTGACAGAGAAGAACAACATTAACAAAAAATTGGTCAAGCTTTCAATAATGAAATACAAGGAAAAGAATGTAAAACATGTAAGACAGAAAGGCCAGATTACCTTCAGAAGTTCCCCAGTAAGACTAACAGCTGATTTCTCATCAGAAACCCTACAGGAAAAAAGAAAATGCAGACATAGTCCAAGTCCTAAAAGAATGAAACTGCCAACCCAAAATACTACACCCGGCAAAGCTCTCACTGACAAATAAAGGTGAAATAAAGACCTTCCCAAATAAACAGAAAGTGAATTTGTCAACACTTATCCAGCCTTACAAATTAATCTTAAGAATGTATTACACACAGAAAAAGAAAATAATAGTCAACATTATGAAAGAAACTTTATGGAAGAAAGGGAGAAAATCTAGTTAATATATAAAGGAAACCCAAAGCACACAATATGAATATTTATGAAAAAATGATAGGGCCATATTATTACATATTAATAACATCCATTAACTTAAATGGATCAAATTATTTAATTAAAGGATACAAATTGGCTGAATGTATTAAAAAATGAGACCCTTCTATTTGCTTATAAGAAAGAAGATCACCAAAAAATACACATACATTTCTGCAGGTGAAGTGATGTAAAAAGGCGTTCCATACTAATGGAGAGGAAAGATGAGCGAGGGTATGGACAAATCGGTAGACTTCAACAGAAAAATTGCTACAAAGGATAAAGAAAGGCACTATGCAATGATTCAAGAATAAATTCAACAAGAATATGTGATTACAGTGAATGTACCTAATTACTCAAAACAATGTACCCGGTTATTTAAAACAATTGCTAACGGTTCCACAGGGCACACAGTCCAATACAAGAGTACTGAGAACTTTCAAATCCTTATTTAAAAGATAAACTAGATGGAAAATCAATGAAGGAACAACATAATCTACACTATGGACCAAACAGACCTAACTGGGATCTACAGAGCATTTCACCTCACAGTTGCAGAATATACATTGTTTTTATCAATATATGGTGCTTTCTCTAGGACAGAAACAGGTAAGTCAAAAAGCAAATCTCAGCAAATCAGAAAAAACTGAAATCAAACCATGTATCTTTTCTGACCACAATGGAATAAATCTGGAAATCAACAATTAAGAAATTCTAGAAATTCTAGAAAATACGCAAACACAGGGAGATTGAAAAAATACATTACTGAGTGAATAGTGGATCATGCAAGAAATCAAAGAGAAACCAAAAATTCCTAGAAGATGACAATACAACATTGCAACTTACAAACTGCAGGAAAAGCAGTGTTAAGCACCAATTTTACATCAATTAAATGCTACATAAAAAAATTGGAAAGGCATCGAATAAATAGCCTACCAATGCATCTGAAAGACTAGCAAAAAAAATTACTAAGGGAGAATTAAAATTAGAAAAGAAACAAAGAAAATTGAAATGAAAATGATGTAAAATATGGCCAGTGAAATAAAGAGCTTTTCTTTTTCTAAAGAATAAACAAAATTGATACACCGCTGGTCTAGCTAACCAACAATGAGAGGGAAAAGCCCCAAATCAATAAAGTCAGAAATGAGAAAGGAGATACAACAATGGACACTGAATAACTGAAAAATCATTAGAAATTACTACATGTCGACAAATTGGAAAATCCAGAAGAAAAACGTAGATTTCTGGATACATATAATCTACCTAAACTGTGTGATGAAGACATAGAAAAACCTAAATAGACCAGTAGCCAAGATGGAGATAGAATCAGGGATAAAGAGACCTCAAACAAAGAGAAGTCTGGAACCAGATTATTTCACTGCTGATTTCTACTGGACTTTTAAATTATTTGCTTCTTAAATTATTCAACATGAGTGAAAGGGAGAAAATCCTCTAAAACTCATTACATGAAGTCAACATCACCTTCATTCAAAAATCAGGAAAAGATGCAAAAGAACTATAGATGATGAACAAAGGATGAACAAAGATTCTCAACAAAATCCTAACTAATCGAATTGAATAACACACCAGACAGATTATTCACTTGGGCCAAGTGGAATTTATTGTTGGTATTCAGGGTTAATCCAACATATGCAAATTAATAAATGTGATATATCACATTAACAAATTGAAGAATAAAAGCATACAATTAAATCAATATGAGGCACAGAAAGCATTTAATAAAATACAACATCCTTTCATGATAATAACCTTAATCAAACTGAATACAGAGAACCTTCCTCAACACAATCAATGCAATATGTGATAAACCAACACCCCACATCACACTGAATGGAGGAAAGCTGGAAGTGTTTCCACTAAGATCAGCAATGTCAGACAGGAACGCCACTTTGAGCAATGTTATTCAATACAGATTTGAAAGTTTCAGCCAAATCCATTGGGCAAGAAAAAGAAATCAAACGGATAGAAATTGAAAACACAGCAATTTATCCTTTTTTCTAGATGACATAATCCTAACCAAATGACACCACAAAGAGACTGCTGGAACATGTAAGAGTTTGGTAAAATTGCAGAAAATAAAATCAACACACAAAAATCACTAGCTTTGCATACACAGATAATACCATGGTTGAGAAAAAACTTGTGAGATAAATGCCATTCACAACAGGCATCAAAATACCTAAAAACCTTGGACTGATCAAGGTTATGAAAAATCTGAACAACAAAATATTACAAAAACATTCATAGATCGTAAAAGTCCACACCACCAAAATGTCCACACTATGGAAAGCAACTCAGAACACCAAAAAAATCGTCTTGAATCTACAAAAAAAAAAAAAAAAAACTGCTAAACTTCAAATGGAAACATGAAATCCCGAATACCTAAACGAATACCTAAAGAAATCTTAAACAACAAAAACAAAGCTGGAGGCATCAAAATACCAGCCTTAATGACACAATAACAAGTAGTTATAATCAAAACAGCCTGGTACTGGCACAAAAAAGACACAAACATCAACAGAACAGAAAATAAACTCCAGAAATTAATCCACACATCTACAGCCTACTAATCATTAACAGCTGAGCTGAAATCAATTCCTGGAGAAAAGACTGTCTCTTCAACAAACAGTATTGGTAAATTGGATCTGTGTGGGCCAAAATATGAAGGAAGACCCCTATCTTACTCCTTAGAAAAAAATCAAATCAAGTTGGGTCAAGGATCTAAATCTATGGCATGATTCCATTAGATTATTAGAAGAACACATCAAGAAAAAATGTGCAAGGCATTGTTACCGGCAGAGAATTCTTGGAAAAGTCCCAGACACAACAACAATAAAGGTAAAAATATACAAATGACTCATTACATCAAGCTAAGTAGCTTATATACTGAAAAAGAAAAACTCACCAAAAAGGGGCAACTGAAAGAATGGCGGAAAATATTTGCAAATCAAATCATGTAACTGACAATGTTATGATCTAAAATCTATAAAGAACTCCAGGAAAAAAAAAAACAGGTAAGAAGCAGGCAAAAGACATGAGCAGGCGATTTCATCCAAGGATGAAATACAAATGGCCAACAGACACATGAAAAAATGCTCAGTATCACTAGCAATCAGGAAATCATAAATGAAAGCCAAGATGATGTTTCAGCTATGAGAACAGCTGAATAGAGAATAGTTATCATCTACAAACCAACCATTCTGGTGAGAATATGGGAGAAAAAGGCATGTTGATCCACTGTTGGTGGGAATATAAACTAGTATAACCATTAATGGAAGATAGTTACAAGAGTCTACAGATATTTAAAAAGAGATACACTATGTGGCCCAGCTCTCCTACTCCTGGGAATTTACCCAGACAAAACCAAGCCAGCATGAGAGAGTTATTTGTACCATCACGTTGACTATACCTTAATCCATAACAGTTAAGTTATGGAATCCACCCAGATGTCCACTAAAAAAAGACTGGACAAAATAAATGCGGCATGTATCCACTACGGCATAATGCTCAGCTGTATAAAAGAATAAAATCTTGTCTTTTGCAGCAAAAGACATGTAATTGGAAACCATTATGCTTACTAAAATAAGCCAGTTTCAAAAAGACAAATATCATGTTTCTATGTAATATGTGGCAGCTAGTACAGCACACAAAACATGTACAGGAAGGAAATGATCGTTTTTGGGTATGACTGTTGTTTTTAACCTGTGCTTTTACTACTGTGGAGTGGAGGTCATCCTACATGTTAGTTGCTGAATATTTCAATTGTGGTTAGTTAAGCCTGAGAATACAGAGTGGATTAAAATCATGTCTTTGTGAACACTGATGGAGACATGTGAAAGGAAGGAGGAGCACTGGGGGCAGCAGGGGAGGGAGGGAAATGTGGCTATCTACTGGACCTGGACCTATCACATACATTACTCTCTACATGAAAGATTTTAAAAAATAAAAGAAAATTGCTACATTAAACTTTTGTTTTAATCCTCATTTTTTTCTGAAATCATATTTCTCTTTTTACACCAGCCCAAAGGATAAATTTGAAGAAAAAATTGGCAGTGAAATGCTCATCAGTCTTTCAACTTTTGTTTTACAAGCAATGTCTCTGGAGAAAAATTTCTCCCTGTCCCCTTTCCCAGCTTTCTATTTCATTTCCCATATTCCATCTTTGCGCCTCAATATACAGAAATAGATGTGCCAATATTCATACCTCAATGATCACAGACGCTATCGGCTGGAAAGGATTAACCATAACTGGTTCTGGGTCCAACTCGGCCACTCCACACGTCTCACCAAGTTCCGCCTGCTCTCGTTCTCTTTGTTCCCTATTATTTAAGGGGGGAAAATGGAACTGCTTAAAAAATACTGAAATATATCTATCAAAACTTGTAATTGTTTAAGGTTATTACATTCGATAATATAGACATCATATATTTAAACACTATTAGTAACTTAGACATTTAATTATTGAGCAATTCAGAAATGCTTATATAATCCTCTACTCACTTAAAGATAAGTCATTTGAAATTTAAAGTAAGGAGATATGGACAAAAATGATATTTCCTATGAATGACTTTTAGTGTGCAATGGCATAAATGGACAAATATCATATGTTCTCTCTACTATAAGTCAAAAGATACAAGATCAATATACAGCTAAGCATGTATGTACATATATTTATCTAGAGGAACTATAAAATGGAGGCAAGTATACCGTGAAGAGGAAACACATTTAGTATGTATCTCAACTTCTAAATAAAAGATGAACTCCCAATGAAACTGCTAAATATATCCTGTCAATATAATGCTGGACTTCATACCACTGTCTATACCTATAGTGTCAGGATACACTTAAACAGCAGAATCATGGACTTGTGACTGCTGTTGGACTACACTACTGCAATAATAGAGGGGAAAACAGTGGGGGATGGAATGTTGGGGGGTGGAAATGTTGGGAGAAATCCCTGAGCCTAAGAAAATATTTTTTCATGAAAAATGTTTTTCATGAAAAATATTTTGAAAAAAGAAAGAAATTAAGCAGGACTTTCCCTATAAATATACGTATATGAAGTAGAATGCATATCACTAAATTCATTTACACTGAAAAAATACTGAATTGGCAGTACTAAATAGTTTTTATAAGATTATAACTCTTTAAATGCATCAAGACACAAAATTAATTTATTTACCTTTCTTCCCGCAATTTCCGCACTCTCTCAGCCCTTTCTCGCTTTTCTTGTTCCTCAAGAGCACGCTGTTCTAGTGTGTCTTTCTGGATGCGTTCATTTAAGGCATCAAAGTCTCTTGCAATAATATGTAGCAACCAATAGAGACCTTTTTTAATAGACTTGTCAATTTTTTTCCCATATCCTAACACTGCTGAGCAAGGTTCCTAAAACAAATGTATTTGACAAAAGATGAAAATTTACAATTCTCCAACAACTGTATCTGTAAACTGTTAAGCTTAATTATTAAGTCAAAACTAACCCATTAAAAAAAACATTATGCAACTAAAGTCATGATGGTACATGTGTTTATTTAATTTATATATACACCTATACAATTATCACAAACACTGGTACTTCATAGAAATTCAAATATATCACAGGCTGTAGCTGTGAGCTATGGAAACTGAAATATTTCACAGGCCATATCTGTAAACTAGGAGAGACATAAGAAGTTGATAGTACTAGTTACAACTTTTGTTGCAATCAAAATTGAACTGCTGGAATAAAAATGCTCCACTTATTAAAAATAGCAGGAAGTTTTAAATTTTATACCAAACGATTCATAGTGGGCATGCACAAAATATAGAAAACCTAATGATCGGTTTATGATATAACAATAAATGACTGAATCCATACTGCTCAGGATTATATGGCAACTCTTCTGACAAAATTTTTAAAAACTCATTACAAATCTCATACACTTAAAATTCATATTTTTACAATTTCTATCCCATTTTGCAAAATTAATAGCATGATATGTTGAAATAATTTACAGGTCCCATCAGCAATATCATAAAGAAAAAAACCTTAGAAATACAAAAAGAGAGTTTAAGGAATCAGAAACAAAGAAATAGAAAACAAAATGTGATACTATTAAGTAATACCAGGAAAAGAGTGAGAAACTGATTTTTTAACAGAATGCTAACTTAAAAAAACAAAATTCTTAAAGACTTATTTTCATGGAAAGGCAGATATACAAAGGAGAAGAGATAGAGAGGAAGATCTTCCATCTGATAATTCACTCCCCAAGTGGCCACAATGGCTGGAGCTGAGCTAATCTGAAGCCAGGAGTCCCGAGACTCTTCCAGGTCTCCCATGCAGGTGCAGGAGCTGGATGAGAAGCAAGGCTGTGGGGATTAGAACTGGCGCCCATATAAAAGTACATGCAGGTACATCCAGGTACATGCAAGGCGAGGACGTTAGCCACTAGACTACTGCGCTTTTAACAGAATCTTTCTAATTGTCTATTACCTTTATAAAAATTATGTTACACAAAGCATATTTCAAAAGGTCACACAAAAAAACTTACTATTTGACATAGGCACTTGTGCTCATTGACTAATTTTTCCAAAGACAGACATTCAATCACATCAGCTTCTCCCAAAGCGCCTTCCTTGTCTTGTTTATTTGCCAACCTAAAGAGACAAACAAAGTAATTTTATAACATACAATCTGGTGGCAACTCAAAAATATTTTGACCATTGGGACAGGCAGAAACTAAGCATTTTGAGAACAATTCTGTTAAAGCATTCTGCCTGTGAGGCAGCAGTTGGTCAAAGATAAAGTCTGAGAGATTAGCCAGTAAGCCAAAAACCCAAAGGTAATTAGTTGATATGAAATAAGGTTCCCCAAATGCATAAAACCTTTGGGACAAGCAATGAGTTGTTTATCTCTAAAAGGAGCCTTCTGACCTGCCCCTTTCCAAAAGTCCTTGGTAGCTGTATCTGCTTTCTCATTACAAGGTGCCCCCTCTTCAAACCCTGTTTCCTGCTGTACAGTTGACATCAATCATGTTCTTCTAATTCTAGTCTTAAGTCTATTACAGCACACACTAGCATTTCAAAAGTATGATAGTATCAATGTCATCATTTCCATTACTTCTTATTGCTAAAATAGAGTTACAAGAACTGACTTATATGAGAGAAATCAGATAAGAAGAAATGACAAGAAAGCATAAGCAGGGACAGATGCTGTGACACAGTGGGCTAAGTCACTGCTTGAGATGCTGGCATCTTTGGTTGCCAGTTTGAGCTCTGGCTATTCTGCTTTTGGTCTACTTCCCTGATAAAGCACCTGGGAAAAAGCAGCTGATGGCTCAAGAACCTGAGGTCCTGCTAACCCCATGGGAGACCAGCATGAGGCTCCTGGCTCTTGGCTTCAGACTGGCTCAGCAATAGTAATTACATCCATTAACCAGTTGACTGTCACATGGAAGATTGTCTTACTCTAACTGGGGGAAAAAAAGAACAGAACATAAGCATAAGCAATAGATCAAAAGGCCAAAAAAAAAAAAAATCAAAAACAGAAAAAGAAATAGGTTGTTTCTCAAAGCTCACACTCATACATTATTTACCTTCTTAAACTCAGATTCATAATGTAAATGGCCTCACTGAACATTATAAACATCTTAATCTACAAGTTGCATCATATTTTAAAGGTTCAATATTCACTTTAAGCTTGTAACATGTAAGGTAATTTACATGTCCAATGTATTGACATGTCCACAAGATTTCCTGGGACTCAAATTTCCTGGGACTTGAAGTCATCTCTAACACACTTAGCATAGCAAGGGCCATAAAACAAAAATATACTTAATTAGAGGTAAACTAAACAACTAAAATAAATTCTAAAGAAAAAAACAATAACTGATTAGAATATGCTACTATATGGTACAGATCACAAGTTGAGTTAACACTGCACTTTGGGTCCGTGTCATTTTGTATCCATGGGCTCAACCAAATGTAAATCAAAATATTTTTAAAAAGAAAAAAAAAAGAATCTGTTCTGAAAACGTAGACTTATTTTCTTATCATTATTCCTAAACAGCACAGTGAGATGCACGGTGGGGATTATACATGGGAGCATGCAAATATTACATTGTTAAGTATAAAACACTGGAGTGTGTCTAAGGATTCTGGCAGACCTGAGGCCTTCTAGAACTAATGTCTATTGCAGAGATACCGAGTGACATGTGTACTGTCTTGGTCAAGGGTTCAAACACTCTGAGGCAAAGATAGATACAAATTTTATCTATTTGAAAGGCAGAGATAGACACAGAGACAGACAGAAAAACAGAGTTGCCCATTTCTTGGATTGTTGTGGGCACTAACAATGTCCTGTGCCTTGGTGATCTTTAAGCTGATTGGATAGGATTGATATATAAGCCAGGGGCTTGGGGGGAGGGGCTTCTACATAATGGAATTAACGGACATAACTTTTTTTTTAAAGATTTTATTTTTATTGGAAAGGCGGATCTACAGAGAGGAAGATCTTCCATCCAATAATTCACCCCCCAAGTGAGCGCAATGGCCAATGCTATGCCAATCCGAAGCCAGGAGCCTCTTCTGGGTCTCCCACACGGGTGCAGGTTCCCAAAGCTTTGGGCCATCCTCAAATGCTTTCCCAGGCCACAGGCAGGGAGCTGGATGGGAAGCGGGGCCGCCGGGACTAGAACCGGCGCCCATATGGGATCCTGGGCGTGCAAGGTGAGGACCTTAACCACTGTGCCATCACGCCGGCTGGTATAGTAGGCCTGGGCCTTATCTTATTAATTATCGTCCTTTGGGGTCTGCGGACGCTTCATATTCTAGCACAGTGTCATCAGCAGCAACAGCGGCTGCTAGTGCAAGCTGTGCTTGCCCTACACAACAGAGAATCCCCAGAAGTCTGGCTAGGCATGCTGGACCGGTAGCCGGAGACGGGTAAATATCCAATACGGCTTCACCAACCTAACACAGGTGCCACATTCCTAGCCATGTGGTTAGACCATGACAGGTAAGGGGAGCCCAGACTTGGAACACCTAAGACAGGCATGGTCCCTTGCTTAATAAAACAAGAGTGGAGGGGCTGTTGGGGGTGCTAACAAGGTCCTACCCTGTGATTGGCCCTTTGCCCTGATTGGCATGCCTTCTGCATGCCTTGGTGATCTTTAAGCTGATTGGATAGGATTGATATATAAGCCAGGGGCTTTGGGGGGTAGGGGCTTCTGCATAACAGAATTAATGGACATAACGGTTTTAATGGAAGGTCTGAATAAGCGTCTCTGAGACGCTCTCCAGTGTCGGGTGATTTCTTCCGCGGGTCCGGAGACCCCGATATTGGTTGATTCCTCAAGTGCCTGCAAAGCTGGGGTGGCAATAGGCCCAAGTATAGAGCTGGAAATTCAATCCAGGTCTTCCACACTGAGTGGCAGGGACCATGTTATCTGAGACTTCCCAGGGTGTGCATGAGTAGAAAGTCAGAATGAGAAGAGGGGCTGGAACTCAAACTCAAGTACCATGAAACAGGATGCAGGAGTCACAAGAGGTGGCAAACATCACCATTATACCACTATTACTAACAAAATTAACAGTAATATTACTCAATTCATTACATTTCTTCCAACACCATACTACATGACTGTCTTGTTCAAATTCAGATCCCAACCAGATGCATGTCACTGTCTATCACTCTAAAATATTTCCAGATTTATATCAGACATCTTCCCTAAACCCCAACATCATCACTTTTCTTCCCAAGATGTTTATAAAGCAAATCATCTTTAGAATTTCTCATGTTTGAGATTTGTCTAAAATCTTTCTCATGTGGTCATTTGGTATATATGTCCTGTATTGACTACCTCCGGAAGTAAGCGTACAAACTGGTGCCTTTCAGGTTGATATCTTTTTGTAAGCAGGTTTGGAAGTTGGTGTTGCTACTTTGGGGGTATATATTTTAAATGAAAAACGGAATTGCAAACACCACAATCTGGGTTATATAGATATTCATTGTCACTGTATCTAGACCCTTTCAGTGTGAAAACCTAAAGTCGATTTTTTAAAAATGAATTCATATGGATTTTTAAAATTTCACATCAAACATTACCAAGGTTTTATTGAGCTTCTTAAACCTCCTTTTAACAGGCTTAAAGCCATAGCTCCTAATCACCTATCCATTTGCTTTACCTTCTTATATATCAGTTTGAATATAATAATGCTAATACTATCACCAAAAGTACTAAATATGAATTGAGATTTCTTTAGTTATATCTGTCTCTAAGATAAACCCTATCAGAGATACACAATACCCAGTTGCAAAAATTACTTGAAATAATCTTTTGTGTGGTTTTGATACTAAATAGATAAACAACCAGGCTATTCTCTTCTGGGTGCTTCTGCTTCTGTAAAGATCACTCATAACATGAGATTTTTACCAAATTTGAAATCCACACTATAAAAATAAGGTCATTATCAGACTGGACTTTTTCCTTCCTTTTTTACTCCTTCATACGGTACTGATTTTCATTCATTTTTACTTCATTTTCCTGCTGTTTTGAAACTGGTTGTTGTCCTCTTAATCAGGTCTCCTCTTTAAATCCTGGAAACATCGAAGCCCCCAGGTGTGCTTCCTTGATTCTTTTCAGAAAATTTCTCCAATTTTTAAGCAATAGGTTCCTTATTATAAAGCTGGTTGTTAAGTCACTATTTCTTAAGATGCTTCTGCAGGCTTTACCATAAGCTGAGCTGAATGAATCTCAAACTCATCAAGGCTGACCAGTCAGGCCTCACATACACAAAGAGGAAGCTTATAACCTACAGCTGTGGCCTGCCACATCAGAACCAAAATTCAATGCTTTCTGCCACAACAGAAACAAATACTGGAGCATAAGTGGAAGGTAGAAGAACCAGATAACTTTAGAAAGAACTTGATCATTCTTGTAATCAGACAAGAGAGTACAACATCCACTTGATCCTTCCTCGTATTAATCAACATATAACCCAATAGCAGCCATGGGCCAGCAAATTATAATTTGCCACAGCTACGATGTGTCCATACCTCAACTTCTCTTACGGGCTCCACAAAACTTTCCCGGGATTCCAGTTAGGAAAATAGATCTGGTTTGGGGGTTTTGCCAGTCATCATCCTAGTCCACCACGCAGATAAAGCCTTTCTTTTCCTATAACACTTGTGTCTCAGCTTGATTTTGGTTCATATCACACTGCAAGCCTGCCTTATTCAATAACAACTTCATGTTGGAAACATAAACTGCGGGGAAAGCACTATTTTAAACACCACAACTTGGACACTGTGAATATTCAGTGTTATTGACTGCATGTGGGTATGCACAGCTGCAACTAAATGGTCATGCATGTGTATTAACAGACATCTACTTTTTCTTCTTTAAAAGTCAGCCTATCTATACACTCTTACACACTAGGCTTTATTGTCGTGATGGTTGTTACCTGAACAGCTCAAACGTCCCTTAATAACAATCAAGAAATCTTTATTGCTTTCTATAATTGCAAAATGCTTCATTGTTTGAATGTTCTGTCATTTATTAGCCAATCCTACACTAAACAACTTCCGTGTTTCCAGTTTCTGTTTTTAAAAAGATAATGAGAACTAGACCAGTCTACTGTACATAATTGTAAGCATGGGAGCCAAGGCAGGGGGCAGGCCTGGTGGGAGTTGCTGTGGGTTACTCCGACTAGGCTACAGCTCCCACTGGTTTGCATCAGAGACAAGTGTGTGGTGTTCAGGATCAGGCTGGACTGCAACACCCATTGGTTTGTGTAGAATACAGGGCTGGAGACAGAACTGATCCCAGCAATTGCACTACCAGCATGTACATACGCTGATTGGGGCAACAGACTGTGCTAGAACCTGTACTGACAAGCACACACACCAGAATCAGGTCTGTGATAACCTCAGATTAAGTTTCTGTGGGGATCCCCACAACTGAATCGCTGGACTCAGAGCCCCAATCATGGTGAGAATTGCAGGTTCCGTGGTTTGATGGTGGAGTGTATGTGTTAGAGCTGGGCCTCCTCAGTGGCTTAGATGGAGCAGTGAACAGCATATCCTGGGGCATATGCAGGATATTGCAGTATATTAGAGCCTGAAGAGGACACCTGGTATCGTTACAGAGGATGAACGACAGAACAAATTGATCAACTACTCCAACCACATGTTGGCAGTGAATATTTGGGCAATCAGAGGCTCGAAGGTGAACAATATCAACCAGTGGATTCTGGAGAGATTACGGCAGTAATTCAGAACTGCTGAACTGTCAAAATCTTTTGAGCAGGACCCTAAGAGCATGCCCCACATTGGTGAAGCCGGGAAGGCTGGGAGGCTGGTTGCGGCTTCTCCCAGCTACAGGAAGGAAAAAAAGATATTGTGGAAATAGTGGTCTCATCCATTTTCCTGTAGCCTTTGACCTTTGTATCCTAATCAACTATGTAAAAATCATCAACAATAAAACAGGTGTGTAAATGAGTCATTTCGTATTTGGGGGATTCCAAGAAATCGAACTTACAAGTCAAGGAATAAATGAAAATGTAATTTTGACAGATATTAAAAACAATCTGCTTCCTATTGCACTAAAATAATAACAATGCAAAGACAATATTTAAGAAGGGCTTAGAAATTTTGGAGAAGAAGAAAGTTTCATTTTTATTTTTGCTGTAATTCCTTCTGGAAAAAATTAATTTTGAGTTACTATATTGGCATATAAAACCAGCTTAATATATACTGATGCACCACTTTCCTTCATTCATATTAGAAACTACAGAGGATGCTTTGACAATAGAATGCTGGACTCTGCTATTTTCCAAGCCAGCAATGATGAACATGTGACTGTTTATGAAGAGGTATGCTATAGTAATAATACAGGGGAATTTGGTGGGGAGGGGATTTGAGGAAGGGGTAGGAGAAATCCCAGGGCCTATGGAGCTGTGTCATAGAATGATAATAATTTTAAAATTAGTTAAAATAAAGAATATTTAAAATAATAAATAAACAAAAAAGAAGACACTTTAAAATAAAAACAGCAGGTAAAGTATAAAGAAAAGTAAAATAGAAAGTTTACAATGCAAGCCCTCTTTTGGTGGTTCTAGCTGTGAAATTCTATGATTTTCGGAGCCAAGCTCTTATAGGCTTTCCTAAAATAGATTAGAAATCCATCATTTTAAATTAAAAAAGCAAAAAAGTTTAACATGCAACTTCTTTTTTTATTTTTTTTTTCCTATTTGATTCTAAATTGTTCTGATGTCCAAAGAAAAGAAAATAACTTTATGCAAATACAAACCCACTTTTTGGAGTATTTTATATACATAGTGTAGGAGTGAATTTACAGAAGCTGTGCCAAATATTCTCTGTAGGCAATTTAACAAGGACTTCCTGTTACCAACTAACTCCATGAAAATGATCTTCCCTTCCTCTAAGAACAGGCGTCCAACAGGCAGAACCGGATTCTCCAGGTGTGAAGTAAGCAATCTACTCTCATTTTATATTAACAGAAAAAGTACAACTTTATCTCTAACGTATTTGACTTCTGTATTTGGCTTTCAATTAACTGTATAAAAACCAACCAGAAATTAGCCTGGGACTTGAAAGACAGGAATTTAATTTCATCAAAATATTACTTGAGATGATTTCAACGTGTCTCAAAAGCTGAACTCCATCATCGCAGGTGAGAAAAACAACAAAAGGAACCAGCAAGAAAGGTAAATAAATCACTCCTATTTTGTATTTTTTAATGTAAGATACCTTCTTACAAAAGTCTGTCTATATGGTGATATTTAAAAACTGCTCAACAGTCAAGAAAGTGACTTGCTTTATTCAGATTTGGACAGGGCTATTGGCAGCTGATAAATGCTACTGATACACTGAATTAAACGTAGAATAGTTAAAGCTAGACACCATAATAAAAAAAACAAAACCTTTGGATGAAATAATTTTTAAGGTTTTCAAAAAATAGGTTTTCATTTTGGAACCATTAGAAAGTCTGATCTTACAAAAACAACTCAAATTCTTTCATATACAGAGTAAAAATTAATCATGCTCTGCTTTCTTTAAACAATTCTTACATATTTAACTTTGAAAGCAGTCAGATGCCCAAATTTCACATGTATGCTTTACTTTTAAAATCTAGATAAATTTCTATATAGTTTTAATTAACTTCTTCACAATTCTTGATTCTTCTGAAATTGGAGAAAATCAGAAAAAATCTTGGTACAAAAGAAACATCTTAAAACGTCAACATACTCAGTTTTAACCAATTTTATTAAAAGTTACTTAAATTCACAATTTAACATAAGTATTTTTCAAGCTGTCAAATTAATGTAATGTTTAAGTCTGCATTATCTAAAGGAAACATGTGTAGATGAGTCTTATGCCTACAAAGTTAGCTTATAATTGTTACCATGTTAAAATCTAATAAAATCCAACTTCAGATCATTATAATAATGACTTTCCTAACTTTTTAACACTAAACAAAAGAAAAAAAGCATTTAACTACTATTAGAAAAATACCAGATTATTTAGAGAACATACATAATTTGCAAAAAAAAAATTAGTAAACACCATTATACCCTAATTAAATAACTAGAGAGGTGTCTATTCTAATAAGAATCTCTTCTTTTTAAACTATAGAAATACTGCAAAAATATCTTCACATACATAAACAAAAGATTTTTCTTTTATTTAAAAAATACGGTAACAAAGATATATTTCTCCAAACTCTTTTCTAAATGAATCTATATTAGGTATTTTTTTAAGTGAATCTATATTAAGTATAGAATGAAAGTTTAATTTTTTCAAAAAAAGCTATGTAACAATGAACATTTATCCTGGAACATATTTTAGAGCACAAGATAGTTTTTACACGTTTTTTTGTTTCCAGGAATTTTTACTGTACTACAATGGTGAATACTTACTTTGATTGACACAAATTTATTTACCTATTTCCCAGAAGGAACTGCCCAACTTTATTATAATATGTACCAATAAATATTCAAACTTCCTGTTTTTTAATCATGCTTAGCTCAAAGACAGATATTGCCAGAATTCACAACTACTCTGTAGAGCAGTAAAATAAACATGAAAAAAGATGATATATATTTGAATAGAATTTTTGCAATATTAAGAAAATTAATTTAAGGTACATAAAAATTGCCCAACACAATGATCTCATCAGCTTTATCTAACAGAAGTAGTTAGGTGATTTTGTTCATTATGAACTTCATGTTTTATGCCTATATAAATTCTGGCTCTTGTAACTCATACATTTTAATATGCTTATTTGTCTCACTTTGCCTAATATTCTAATTTATGAAGATAGAAGATCAGGAGGCTAACTCATTAACCGTTAGACATCCTTATAATCATGTGTACATAACTACTAGAAAATGCAATTAAATACATCATGAGAATGCATCTGAGTACCTGCTTTAAGTCAATTTCAGCAGGAATAAGCAAGGATTAGGGAAACATTTCAAATTACGTTAATTCTGCAAACACAATCTGCTATCACTTAGGCAAGATGCAGAGATATAGATTCCTCCCTCTTTCTTTAAATCTATACAAAGGCTGTTTATAATCATAAATATAAGAGGACAAATTTCAACACTATATAACATTTTAACCTAAGGAAAGGAAACTTCCCAAGTGCCAGAAATGACGAAGCAATGCACACACAGCCAGAACAAAGAGTGGGGCTAAAGTCGACTCTGTTATACTAACATAGGTAAGCACTTTGCCTTAGAGGTTGGTGTTTAGGGTCTGTGGCACATAGGGAACTAAAATCAAGTTTTTTTAAAGTAATAAACCAAGAAAAATGGAACATTATCTAGATACAAAGACAGAGAAAGCTGTGTCCAGAGAAGCAAGCTACTAAAGACAATTATCCCTATAATTACCTCTATACTGGAAAGAGAACGACTCTTTATCAGAGCTCTATATTAAATCATTGGTAGTAACTACTTTCACCAAACTTTCATTTGAGAAAAGTTTTTAGTTTGTTTTTGAGATATAGTTTTTTACTTAAAAGGCAGAATTACACAGAGACAGGGAAAGACGGAGCAAGAGAGATAGACCTTTCATCCACTTTCACTCCTTGAATGGTCTCAAGCTCTGGGGCTGGGAAAGGCCCAAGCCAGGAACTCCGCCTGCTCCTGCCACGTGGATGGCAGGAGTGCACATACTCAAGCCATCCTCTGCTGCTTTGAGCCACATCAGCAAGGAGTTAGGTTGGAAGCAGAGCAGCCTGCACTCAAACTCCAGCCCATATGGCATGGAATTTGGCGAGTACATCAGAAAACAGGAGCTCTATTTCTCTAATAAAATAAAAGGCAGATAGATTATGCCAGTGTTATATAATACACATTCTGGGGTATTTATTTTGTTTAACTTAATAAGGAGTGATATACTTTATAATATCCAACATATCTTATTATTTATTGTCTTAGGGCAAAGAACCTTGCCAACCCTTAACTTTCCCAAAAGGAAAATGAGAAAATTAATTAGTTAACCCAAAGGACTGATTTCAGATTCAAAGTCACCGCTGCTTTGGCCAAGAGCAGAGGATTACAACTCTCTGCCACTGGGTTTGGTTAGCTTGTAAGCGAATGATTTCAGATGTACAGTATTTATGCCCATTTCTACCTTCCTGTTGTGCTGACATTCACATTCACCAGCTGTCCACGTGACCAGCATGGAGACCAGAGTCCCCAGAAAGCTCATCATGCACATGAAACTAAATGTTAAACCTCTTAGGAAATGGCAAATCGAACTATTTCACAAATCCCAAAATCTTTCTAATTGATATTTCTTACAAATGAAAATTTTTACTAATTATAATCAAGTATAACTAATTACACATAGCATATTACTCACAAGCTAAATTGCTTAGCACAATTTAGAGATAAAAATATAACGAGAATAGAAACCGTAACATGCTGATGTAGTGCAACATTTGCTCCATTTTGCTTATTTCCCAGTTACATAAAAAAAGAATAAAAGAATAAAATACATTTTTAGAAGGCATGTCTCTCTCCGTGTGTGTAGATATATGTACGATTTCCTTATTTATATGAAAGGCAGAGCTACAGAGGTAGAAACAGAAATATTCCAACTGCTGGCTCACTCCAATAGAAAGAAAACAAGATGAAGCCAGGAGCCTGGGATTCTGGCTAGATCGCCCACAAAGGTGACAGGGCCTCAGCACTTGAGCCAACTTCTGCCGCTTTTCCAGTCATATTAATAGGGAGTTGTATCAAAAGTGGAACAGCTAAGATCAAAACAGCACTCACATAAGATGCCAGTGTGACAGGTGGTGACCTATCGTGCCTCACCATAACACTGGCCCCAATAACTATTGTCTTATATGGGTCCACTAACTTAATATTCAATTTGGCAGTACTTTTTATATTGCTTTCTTAGGCTCCCCTACATACACCTGTTTAAACTTTTATTATTTTTTTTTTCCATTGGAAAGGCAGATACTCAGAGAGAAGAGACAAAGATCTTCATCCACTGGTTCACTTCCCAAGTGGCTGCAATGACTGGAGCTTATCTAATACAAAGCCAGGAGCCAGGAGCTTCCTCCTGGTCGCCAACATGGGTGCAGGGTCCCAAAGCTTTGAGCTGTCCTTGATTGCTTTCCCAGGCAGCAGGCAGAGAGCTGGAAGAGAAGTGGAGCATCCAAGACACGAACGTATGCCAACATGGGATCCTGGCACATGCAAGGCAAGGACTTTAGTCACTAGGCTACCACTCTGGGCCCCTTAGGTTCCTTTTTATCTTTTTCTTTTCTTTTGCTTTTTATTGGAAAGGCAGACATACAGAGAAGAGGAAAGACAGAGAGGGATATCTTCCATCCAGTGATTTACTCTGCAAGCAGCAGCAACGGCCGGAGCTGAGTCAATTCAAAGCCAGGAGCCTAGAGACTCTTCTGAGTCTCCTTCATGAGTGCAGGGTCCGAAGACCCCAGGCTGTCCTCGACTATCTTCCCAGCAGAGGCTTTCCCAGGCCACAAGCAGGGAGTTGGATGAGAAGCAAGGTCACCAGGTTTAGAACCAGGTGCCCATATGGGATACTGGCAGGTGCAAGGCGAGGGCTCCAGCCGCTGGGCTACCGCGCCAGGCCCAACACTTAGGTTCCTTTTAACCAACCTTACTTTTGAAAGATTTAGTATGATACTATTTCTTCCCTCATTATCTTGAAAAATCAGCAACTTCAGTTAGTTCTGCTCCAAAGGATAAAAAGTTATTCCTTCTACACAAAATAGACTATTGAGAGTAAGATGATCAATGGAGAGGGGAAAGGTAGAGAGGTGGCAGCAGGGAACCCTTTCCAATTCACAAGTCTATTACATGTCTAAATTACCCTGATGGAACTTTTTGTTTTCATTTTTAGTATACAACATCAGTAATAAAGTAAGACTACGAGCTACTAGAATATTTAAAATATCTATACTCTAAGTACATTATCAACAGCTTGCTTTTAAAATGCTCAGCGTAACTACAAATTAAATTTTCTGAGCAAACTTTTAATACCTGTAAAGTGCTTTTTCTGTCAAAAACAGATTTCAAGGTCTTATCCCTTGTGATCAGGTTTCTTCCTAAACCACTTAACAAACCTAATTGCTTCATTTCAGGACTCGCCCTAGATAATTTCTTTATAGTACCTAACATCCCTGAAAAAGGTTTTATAGCAAACTAAAGAGTTCTTAAGTCCATTCTACCAGAATTCAAAACCTAACTAACTCATCATTAACACATTGGTTACAGTACTTAAACTAAAATCTTAATTTCATAATCTTTAAAAGAGAGATCATGATAGGGTAAACTCGTGGCTAAAATCCTCACTTTGCATGCACTGGGATTCTATATTGGTGCCAATTTGTGTCCTAGATGCTACACTTCCCTTCTAGCTCCCTGCTTGTGGCTTGGGAAGGCAGCGGGGCACCACCCAAAGCCTTGGGACCCTACACCTGCATGGGAGGCCTTAGAGGAAGCTCTTGTTTCCTGGATTCAGATTGGCTCAGCTTCGGCCATTACAGCCACTTGGGAAGTTAATCAGCAGATGGAAGATCTCTCTGTCTCTCCTTTTCTCCGTAAATTTGACTTTCCAATAAAATAAATAATAAAATCTTAAAAAAAAAATAAAGAGCGATCATGATATTCAGAGTTGGGAGAAGGGAGAAACAAATCGAAAAAAAGAAAATGATGAAGAAGAAAAAAAAAAAAGAGGAAAACCAGGAATTGGCAGGTCAGGTAGTACAGGGGTTTGACCTGCTGCTTGTGGTGCCAGCATCTCATATAGAAGTGCCGATTTGAGTCTTGGCTGCTCCACTTCAAACCCAGAAGATGATGGTCCAAGTATTTGGGCCCTGACATCCATCTGGAAGACCCAGATGAAGTTCCAGGGTCTTGCATTTGGATTTGTCCACACCTGGATGTTGTAGCCATGTGGTGAGCAAGCCAGCAGATGGAAGATCTGTCTCTGTTTCTCACCTTCTTTGTCACTTTACCGTTTAGCTAATTAAAGAAATAAAGTTTTAAAAAATGATGTAGAAAAAATTCAGAAGAAATACTTTTCTTGGAAGTCTTTCAAGAAACAACTGTGTCAATATCATTGATGGATTAAAATAATCAACTATTATTTCTTCTACTCCAAAATACATTCTGAGAATTGCAGTTTATCCTATCTTTTTAAGATGTATTTATTCAAAAAGCAAAATTAGAGAAAGGGAGGGGGAGAAGTATTACATTCACAAGCATATGGCCCATTCTCTACTGCCTTTCCAGACACATCAGTGGGGAGCTAGATCCAAAGTGGAGCAGCAAGGGATGCCACGTAGGATGCCAACAATGCAGGCAGTGCCTTAACCCATTATGCCACAGTGCTGGACACACATCCCTATGAACCACTTTCTGCATCCTGGTAAATATTCTTAGGCAGCAAGAAATACTAAAATGCATATATATGTATATGTATTTATATAAATCATGTCAAATATCCAATTTAGCTTGTCTTCCATTGTATCTAAACTATATGTATACATAAATGTAGATATTCATTTTAATTTATCTTCCATTGCATTTAAAAATAGCAACTCCTTACTGAGTCCGCTTTTTGATTCTTTTTTCTAGTTAGCGTCTTGATAATTTCCATCTACACTAGCATTCACTGCGGTGATATCTACCTCTGTACCCAGAATACACTCCCTGGGCTCTTTTATCTGCCTGCCTTCTCAATATGTAGGTCTCATCACTTCAGTATTTCCTTACAGAGGCTTTGTCTGATTGTTCTTTCAAATAATCCCATCATACCTCCCATTTCCCATCAGAATGTACATTCCTCAAGGATAGCTACTGCTGAGTATTTACTATGGCATTTAAAATCCCACATACACTACTATGCCTTGATAACTATTTGAAGAAAAAAATCCATTAAAACCAAAGAACAATTATCAGGGCATTGATTTAAAATTTTATTGAATGTAGGCATTATTGCTATAATATCTATTATCTAAGAACATCTCACTCAAACATTTACAGTGATGGCAAGTTTATCACCTCCCAAAGTGGCTCAGTTCATCTTGGAACATCTCTGGTTGGTGGAAAGGTCTTTATTAAACTGAATCAAACCTCCCTCCACAGGATTTCCCCCTGCTGCCCTTAGGAGTTACACTGAACAAGTCTAACCCCTACTGCATGTACACACATTTGCCTTTTAGAATACAGTTAAATGCATTCCCTGTATTTTCTCTACCAGAAGATCAGTAAATCCATTTCTTTCACTGATTAATCACATGGTATGCTTTTTGAATTCCATCTTTTGCATGCTAATTCAGAAATTTCGAATTTATTAATTTCTACCTCAAAATACTACGATCAAACTTAATAGTGTCCTCACTTTCCATTTTGCACTGAATAACGTAGTTAGTATAGCATATCTTAGTTTATGCAAATATCATACAATTATGCATAAAAGTATAACAATAATGATCCTGACAAAACCCATAATTAATACGTAATAGTCTTCATACATGTACTGCAAACACAAGGGTCTTCTATTTTGTACACGTAAAGATGTCTCCTGGGCCCGACACAATGGCCTGGTGGCTTAAGTCCTTTCCATGCATGAGCCGGGATCCCACATGGGTGCTGGTTCATGTGCCAGTTGCCCCACTTCCTTCCAGCTCCCTGCTTGCGGCCTAGGAAAGCAGTAGAGGACGACCTAAAACCTTGGGACCTTGCTACCATGTGAGAGACCTAGAAGAAGCTCCTGGTTCCTGGCATCAGATTAATTCAACTCTGGCCATTATGACTACTTGAGGAGTGAATTAGCAGATGTTTCCTAAATAACTTTTTTTAAAGATTTATTTATTTTTATGACAAAGTCAGATATACAGAGAGGAGGAGAGACAGAGAGGAAGATCTTCCGTCCGATGATTCACTCTTCAAGTGAGCACAATGGCCGGTGCTTTGCTGATCCAAAGCCAGGAGCCAGGAACTTCCTCCAGGTCTCCCACATAGGTGCAGAGTCCCAAGACTTTGGGCCATCCTTGACTGCTTTCGCAGGCCACAAGCAGGGAGCTGCATAGGAAGTAGAGCTGCTGGGATTAGAACCGGCACCCATATGGGATCCTGGCACGATCAGGCGAGGACTTTAGCCACTAAGCTATCAATCCTGTCTCCTACATAATTTGAATATTGTTTATCCATCCTATTAAATGTAACTTTGCTACTTTGAGTACGGTGTTCTCTGAAATTTTAGTTTTTGAAAACTATACCTTCTACCAATGTTAGTAAGTATGCCTTCACAACAATATCAACTCATCAATAAAAATATTAGTGTAGCAATATAAAACACCAAGTACTTTAGCATCCATCAGAGATCTTTTACTCTGATTGATTCTGTATGGGCCAATGGGTTCCTTACACTCCTACCTCCATTCTTACTCCTAAATCCATTTTTACTCCTAATTTCATTTCCTGCTTAGGTGCACCCTAGGAAGCTGCTGATGACAGCCCAAGTGATTGTGTTCACATGCACAGCCTAAATGACTCCCAAGGCCCTGGTCCTCATGTGGCCATCCCCAGATGATGGTGGGCTCTGAAGAACTGAACTACAGAAAGCAGACTCATTCTCTCTCTCGCCTCTTCCTCTCTTTTTCTGCTTGTCCCCTCTTCTGCCTCTACAATAAACAAAATAATATTCTAATCATGAAAGAGATTGCTAAGTTCTCTTCTAGAATCATGAATTAAATTGTGTATATTTAGCAAAATGAGCATATTTCTATCATTACAAAAACCAAATTAACCAAGATCAGTACCTCTGAAATAAAATAGTTTCGAGTCTAAAAATCAGTCTTATGGGATAATACTCTGCCAGCTATGCTTTCAGACCACAGATGGCCACCCCAAGAATCTGTTGAATCTATCTGGACAATAAGAGGCTGGACTCTATGCATGATACATGCTTGCAATGAAAGAATCATGACTTGATTTGAATTGTAACACTGCAACAAGGTGGAGGAATACACCATGGGGGAGGGTACAGGTAGGGGTGAGGTGAACCCCAGAGCCTATGAAACTGTATCATAAAATAAAATTAAAAAAAAAATCAGTCCTAAAAATTGAAGGCATGGTCAAAAACACCCTTTATCATGGGTAGGTGCTTGGCATAACAATTAACATACTTCTCAAAATGCCTTCATCTCTTATCAAAGTATCTGGTTTGAGTTCTTTGCTTCTAATTCAGCTTCCTGCAAAGGTGCACCCTGGAAAATAACAGATGATATAGTTCAAGCACTTGGGTCCCTGCCACTTACATGAGAGACCAAGATTAAGCTTCGGGACCCTAGCTTCAGCATGACCCAACCCTGGCTGTTATCAGCATTTACAAATAAACCATAATAAGATCTCTTTTTCTGCTGTCTACTTTTCCTCTGCATTTCAAATAAAACATGACCTTCCCCCCACAAAAAAAAATCCTTTATCAAGAAACTGCCATGAGAAAGACCACAACCACAATATTGAAGAACTAACTTTTTGGCAATTACATCTCTAGCATTGGTGTCTTACCCAATGCACTCAACTAAATAACACTCATGTAACCCTACTATCCAAAGTAATTTACAGATTATATTACATAATTTTTCCTATTTCAGCAATCTTTATGAGAAATTTTTATCAATGTTTCTAACTTTTAACCTCCTAATTGAAAAATACACAATCTTTGTGCTGCAAGATAGCTATATCAAGCCGTACGCTACCAGGAAAAATATCAAATTACTCTTTGTTCAGCACCACCACTTTTTGTTTCTTAGGGGGAAAGGAAAGATGAAAGATCGACTCCAAGAGCTAAAGCAGAGAACAAAAGAAATTGAACTTTCTAAAGAGAATCATGTGCCAACAGCAGAAGCAGAGGAACAAGGAGTATTTCCGCAGCAAGCTGTTATTTATGAAAGAGAGCCTATAGCTGAGAGACAACTACACGAGATCCAAAAACTACAAGAAAGTATTAACGATTTAACAGATGATGTTCAAAAATTTGGACAGCAACAGAAAAGTCTTGTGGCTTCAATGAGGAGGTTTAGTCTACTTAAGAGAGAGTCTAGCATCACAAAAGAGATAAAAATGCAAGCAGAACACATTAACAGGGGCTTGGATGCTTTAGTTAAAGAAGTCAGGAAGTCAGAGGCTGAAAACGGTCCATCCTCTGTGGTCACAAGGATACTTCAATCTCAGCATGCTGCAATGTTCCGCCATTTTCAACAAACCATGCTTGTATACAATGACACAATAACAGCAAAGCAAGAGAAGTGCAAGACATTTATTTTCCGTCAGCTTGAAGTTGCTGGAAAGGAGGTGCCTGAAGAAGAAGTTAATGACATGCTTCAACAAGGCAAATGGGAAGTTTTTAGTGAAAGCATACTTACTGAAATCAATATAACTAAAGCCCAACTCTCAGAGATTGAACAGAGACATAAGGAACTTGTTAATTTGGAGAACCAAATAAAGGACTTAAGGGATCTTTTCATTCAGATATCTCTTTTAGTAGAAGAACAAGGAGAAAGCATCAATAATATTGAAATGATGGTGAACAGTACAAAAGAATATGTTAGCAACACTAGAGATAAATTTGGACTAGCTGTAAAATACAAAAAAAGAAATCCTTGCAGGATATTTTGTTGTTGGTGCTGTCCATGCTGTAACTCAAAATAAAGGAACTATTTCACTTTGCATCCCAGTTTTTGGGGAAAGGAAACTTTTTTCTTCATTTCACAGAGCCATTCATAAACTGCTCATCATTATTATGCTGTAGCTCTTCAACCTTTACCCACTCGAAATGCAGAAAACTTGCAAAATTTATTCTTTTGAGAATATTTAGGCAGTTGACAGTTAAATTAAAGAAGACCTCAAAGGGTGCTATAATTTGTTAAAAAAAAAAAAAAAAAGTCAAGCAATGTAGAACCTGCATCAAATCTTTTATCCTCAAGCAGATAAAATCTCAGTGGTCAACAGATACTGGTAAAACACAAATTGAATCAGTAACTAGAACCTAAATCTAGCTTAAGGCCTAAAAAGGTGAGTAAAGGCACCACTTGCTAGGGTTTTAAATGTTTATTTTGTTTACTTAAAAGACAATGTAAATAAGAGAAAGGAGGGGGAACTGAGAGAGAGAGAGAGAGAGAGAGGGAGAGAGAGAGATGGGTTGAAAAAGATCAGCCATCGCTGTTCATTCCCTAAACTGCCATCATGGGCAAGGATAGGCCAGGCCAAAGCCAGCAGCCAGGAGTAACACTCCAGTCTCCCACATGAGTGATGGGGTCCAAGTACCCGCACCCAATTCCACTGTCTAGCCTCATTAGCAAATAGCTGGACTGGAATCAGGGCAGTTAATACTCAAACCAGTGCCAACCCTAGGCATCATTTGAATGTGAATTTATATAGGATACTGTATTCTAGAGCACAGGGCCTGACTGTGCTCTATAAACGCACTGTAGAGTCAACCATATCCTGTTTTGCCACAATTTTGTTATGATACTAGACCCTAACTATAAGTTAGGGACAAGCTTGAACTCACAAAGGGGAGATTTTGGAATTCATATTTTACTGGAGAAAAACCGAAAAATGTAAACATTAGATAATGTTAAGTTCTGGATGGAGACTTAAAAATAAAGATGAAATAGAGACTATGAGAAGGGATTTTTATGTTGGGTACTCAGCAATGGTCACATCAAAGGAATTATGAGTATTTGGTGAAGACCCGAATGATAAAGACAAGGGATGATATATCACAGGCATGAGACAAAAATTAGTACAAAGACCACATGAAAGCTGAGACAGACTCTGCAGAAATGAAAATCATAGTAGAGATGCGGCATATCGGGAGCAAAACAATGAGGTAAGAGACAATGTTAAGTTCAACAACAGTTAGACTTAAGGCTGTGTAAGTGGTGAAATTAAGTCTGAAGTCCACGGCAAGCATAACACAAAGGTCTCAGACCTTCAGGTTGGAGGATAACATCATAACCTACACCAGGCTAAAATCGCTTTGCCTGCTTTGGATACCTAAATCACAGGTATAGAAAATAAAAAAGTTAATGCAGTGGTAAAGGGTTAATATGTGATGAAAGCTAAAATGGCAGGGAGATGGTTATAGGGGTGTAGCAGTTACTAATGCTCCAATAATTCTATAGTAAAAGTATGAAGTTACTATTATCATAATTATATTAATAAGAATAATTAAGCACTCAAGGTCAACTAACCTGTTCCAGGTCACAGAAACTGCACAAGGAATAGAAACTGGAACTCCCTCAGCCTCATTGCAGAAACAGTTCTTACATACTACCGCAGTAATACTAAAATTAGATTAACATGTATTAATCTTAAGAGGTAGATTCTGCAAGATGCTTAGCAGTTGGTGATACCATTTACTGAAACTGAAAAAGACAGATCCATGTGTCAGGATTAATGGTGAGAAAGGAGTCAAGCACTCATTTTAGCCAAGAGAATCTGAAATAACTAGAAGACATACATGTATGCATTTCTACATTAGCTATAGTAGTTAGGCGTTCTTGGGATGTTAGGACAAGAAATATGGGCTTGGTAGATCTGAATTAATAAATGCTATGTAAATGCTGGGTGAGTTTTAGGATGATAACCAGAAAAGATATGTGGATGAATAAATGGCAAGTATAATAAAGTAATCTAAAAGTTAGGCTTAAAGCAGAACAATAAGTAAAAGAGAAAGAATGGAAAGAAAGAAAGGTAGAAAACCAAAAACATTATACTTAAATGCAATCGTTTTTAAGAAAAAAAAAAACTGGAGGGCACCAAAAACAGTGACAATGGATTTGACAACATAGAAACAACAGCAGACTCCAACAAGAGCAGTTTGAAAGAATTTTAAGTAGGAAAACACAAGTAGAACATGTTAAGAGTCACATAAAGAAATACAGCAGCCACTACAGATAGTTCTTTGAAACAGTTTGAATAGAACACCATAAAGAAGAATCCATAACTTTTTAAGAAGTATATGAATTTAATATATATCAAAAACTTAAAAATAAGAAATTTAAGAACACATTCTGCCAGTGAGAATGAACTTACTGTAAGAGACTCCTGATATAAGAAATGGAATGAGGTTAGTGCGCTAAGCTACCACTTGGGAGGCCTACATCCTGTGTCAGTCTGAGATGATGGAGTCATGCCTCCACTTCTGATCCAGCTTTCTGATAGCACATCTGGAAAGCCTTCTGCTTCCAGTAAATGAAACTACACATTTTTCCCTTTCTAGATTTATTCATATATTTAAAGTCAGATTATTCACAGAGAATGAGATCATCCAACTGCTGGTTCATTCCCCAGATGGAGGCAATGGCCAGAGTTAAGCCAGGCCAAACCCACAAGCCAGGAGCTGCATCCGACACTCCCCCACGGATAGCAGAAGTCCAAACAATTGAGCCATTTTCTACTGCTTTCCACACCATCAGAAGTGGAACAGCCAGGACATAAAGTGGTATCCATATATGATGCCAGCATCACAGGGGCAGGACAAATGAGAACCTTGTGTGACTTTCACCTTAAAGAAACATGAGTAAAGAATCTATTAACCGAGAGCACAACAGAATGAAAAGAGATGGGGAAAGAGCAGTCATTTGGGGAGAAAAGTAAGAAATACTATGAGAATGGTAATGGATAACAAGTTGGTCAACAAGGCCTACTTGAAACAGGTAGACCTGTAAACAATAAGGTGAGTCTGTGGCCTTGGGTTTTCAGCCAATGTTTGCTGCTTGGATGGTGGCACAGTGGCTTCTCAAGGCATGTACAGTGGAAGGAAAAATGGAGCAGGAAAATCTGGACAACTTTGAAGGATTAGATTCATATATGCAAAACATATCATAAACACGCTGAAATTTAATTTTAAAAATATAAAGAGCCTTTTACTGTTGTCTAATACCACTGGTGAAAAATATGTTTTACTTATTTTTCATTTTCAAACATTTAAGGAATATTAAAAAATAACTATCTCCACAACTAACTAGACATTTCTCACTCCCAAACACTTCACTAATTTGAGCCAATAATCATACAAGTTATCCACAGACAATCCTGGCAGCATAACACTCCAGTTTCTCTGTTAAAAGACTTTCTCTGTTAATTCTCTAGTCATAGCTCTTAATATGAAAGAAATGGCTCCATACAGGTATAGTTTTATTTTGAACATCCATTTGTGAAGTTTTGTAAAATTCACTCAAAAGTTAACAATACAACTGTACAGAAACAGGGACAGTATCTAATCAGAAAGTGATATCATTCCAATAGTTCAAATGTGCCAACATAACTAGAATTATTATTGTCCTGGGAGGAAATCTTAACCTGTGCAGTTGCCAGTTATTCTGGTTTATTCAGGAGATTCAACTGTAAGAAGGAGAGGAATTATTACGTAGGCCAACTTTCAAGACGACACTAGGGAGGGGAGCTACAGAAAAACCCTATGCCTTGCTATAATGTTAATGTAGGCTACTGAAAGCATAAATAGGTTAAAACTTCCTAGCCCAACTTATTTATTAGGCAACTGACAATGTCTTATGCTTGCTTTATTATATAATTATTAATTATTATTTATGCCTTCTACTGTATCACTCCCCAAATGCCCATGACAACCAATGCAGAGGAAATCCGAAGAGAGAGGAACCTAATTCCTGTCACCCGCATGGATGGCGGCAATCAATTACGTGAGGCATCACTCGCTGTCTTTCAGGAGGCTGTGAATGGAACCCAGGGGCTCTGGTATAGGACACAGGTCCCCTAGGTTAAACGCATGTTCTGCCTTCTATTACTAATGAAATACTTCTATGATGAACACTGAGTTTACAACAGGGGACCACTCTTAGCTTTAGTGCTATTTATACTACTGCAAAAGTAATTTATTCTCTCTCCTAGAAAGGCATTCTTTATCAAGACTAGTTGAAACTTTTTAATTTTTTCAATTAAGATATGTTTGTTTACTTAAACATCATTTTTTTTAAATTACAGAATTATTCACCTACATATAAGCAAACCATAAAATGTGTAATAAAATTAGTAATAGAACTGAAGATTTATATGGACAAATGGTATACTGAGTTCATCACAAGCCCAGAACACAACCTTGTCACCATTCAAAAGGGAAGGGGTAGCAATAATCACAATATGGTTCCTCTAATCTGTCTACATTATTCCCAAACCAAAAGAACACCTCAAAACAGAGAGAAACTTATTTTGTCAACTCATTCACTTTTCTCTTCCTCAAGCAGTACCTTACGTTTTTTTTTTATCAAATCTTCATTCTTACCAAAGATTCCAGTCATATACTGATCAACGCCATAAAGATTTGCAATCTTTCCACTCATCTTGAGCCTCATCAGAGACACTTGTGAACACCATCCAAGTCAAGAACAGTGTGCCTTATCCCTACAAGATGTGTGTGGCGTCTGCTCTTACGCCAATGCATTTCCAATCCTTGACACAGCACACAGAAATTGGGTGTATCAGACAGCAGTGGTTCTTATCTAAAGGTGTCTGAGCCAGGTCATGCTTTCCCAACATCTCCCACATGGGTGGCAGGGACTCAAAACACTTGGGCTATCTGCCACTGCTCTCCCAGGCAAAGCTCCTAGGACTTGATCCAGCACTCCAATGTGGGATGCCAGAATCACAGGCAGTGGCTTAATCCAATGCACCATTA